TGCATATGTTGAAGTAATGTGGAAATATATGTTATATCGATATGGATATTTTGAATCTGCAAAACGTTTTTGTGAACTTATTAAAATCATGCTTGATGAAATAACACTATCATCAACTATCTACGATAATAATATAGTTCATCATGATTTAGCCACTAAAATTGCTGAAGAAACAATAGAATCATTAGCTAATGATGGTAATGAAAACATTCCACTATGGGGCAAAACTGAAACTTGACACAAAATGATATTGATCTTTCATATGTGATTTTTTTCTCTAGAATAAAGTATTTTAACATGACTCTCAAAAATCAACTGTTGTTTGTTAAAATCAAACAAGTTTCATTGAAATAAACGATTGTAGAAAATATATCATTTTGTTTGCATTACTAATAGATTTATATGTAAATAATTAATAATACATTGTTGACTTATTTTTAGTATGAATTTTCAATACTTGTCGCATATGTTTTCGTATATCATTAGGAAGCGAAGTTTTGTTTATCTATCTGTAATAAAAGAATATCAATTCTTGGTACAAATAAATATTTCATATTGAGAACATTATTTGGACTAAATAAGCATATAAAACAGAAACTTACGACAATCGAAGTTATTCACTTAGTCAATAGGTGAGTGAAAGTTACTTTTATGAAACACGTTATTCATCTGAAAGAAAATGATATTACGATCGTCTCATGTTCAAACTCAGGGTTGCTTAATTCAAATTTTAGAAATCCAGATTCGATCAGGAGATTTTTGCATACAATCTGGTGGAAAACATAAAGATTTTTTGCAATTTTTCTTTAAAAAAAGAGAATATCAGACATTTCTCCTTTAGACAAGTGAAATGGCCACTATTAGAAACTCTTGTAATTTGTCTTTATCAAATGATTAACAAGAATAATTATTTCACACATGAAATAAAGAAAAAAGAGATGCGATCAGGTGTACAGGGTATAACAAAATTATAGCCCCTTTTGTCGTTGAGATTTTTCAATGAAGACGAATAGTTAGATCAAATCTAAATAGTGATTTCGATAGCCCTTGAAGTTCTCTATCAAAAACAGTATAGATCAATATCCCCAAAAAAACTTTCCTTAGAAAGTTTTACACAAAACCGAAGTGCTCCAAAATCAAGTGCCTCTGGCACTTGAGAAAAACATTTCAAAATATAGTCATCCGAAAGAGCAAAAAATTCTGAGCAAAATGAGGGG